TACAAATGGTATTTTACAAACATGAATATCTTCTCATTAAATATCTGCTTATAGAATCACATTAAATGCAACTTGTCACCCCTGGCACTCATATCTTAGTTTTAAACACCATTTATCTTTAAACACAACCAGTGCTGGACAGGGAAAGTACAGTATGAGCCTGAAACATATTGTTTTACCAGAAAGTAATAAAGTACCCAAAATCTGTTGGTGATATATTAGAAGGACGTAGAAACCAGTGTGAAAAGGCTCCCACTGGTCAAACTACAAACAAATTAAGAATCAGAGTAAATAGTGACAATAATGAATTATAACCCATTAGATAAAATTAGAAGGCATGAATTCATAACAATATATAAATGATTAATGAAAATAAAGACTCTTCCTGACAGAATGCCAACTAACAAATAAAAGAAGATTGATGGAATTAGAAAATTTTAATCTTCAATCACCAGGGCAATAATTAATTCAGGCAAGAATCATCAACGGATGCTAAAACTAATATGTAAAAGTTAGAAAAGAAAAAAAAATTTGCATATTCATAAAATATCTCCTGTCAACTGCAAAAGAAAAATTAGTAATCTTTTCCAATAAAATAACTAAGAAACATGCACAATTACAAAATCTCAGTTTTGCCAGGCTCGGTGGCTAGCCTGTAATCCCATGCCTTTGGGAGGCTGAGGTGAGTGAATTGCCTGAGCCCGAGGGTTCAAGACCTGCCTGGGCAACTTGGCGAGACCTCATCTCTACAATAAATAAAAAATTAGCCTGGTGTGGTAGCGCGCACCTGTAATTCCAGCTACTTGGAAGGCTGAGGCGGAAGGATCGCCGGAGCCCAGCAGGTTGAGGCTGCGGTGGCCGGGAGTGGCCACTGCACTCCAGTCTGGGTGGCAGAGTGAGACTCCAATGCAAAAAAAATCTCAATTTTATCAAATATCCCCAGAAACAATTCTGGGAAGATATAAAACATTGATTCATGGCAGTAAAGAAAAAAGAAGTTTGTTCTGAGAAAACTGTACTGTGTCTAGCAGAGTCAGCGAAGAATCAAGCTATGGTCCTGATGACTTCTTCTAAGTTTATTTATCTTCTGAAGGCAAGTATTTGGGCAAGTACGCTGGGAAAAAATGGGATCTCTATTCATGAGTAGATTCATTTGTTTCATTGTACAAATTTTCTTCAGTGTGTTATCTGAAATACTGGTTTAAAATGATGAGAGCAGAATAAGTGTCCAACTGTCGGTGTTTTATAAAATGTCCTTCAAAACCCTATGTTCAATTGGATATTTGGAGTTTAAGTTATTTTATATAACGCTACACATTTCGCCATAAAAAAGGGGAAAGTTGGAGTTTATAAATCTAAGGGAAGGCCTGGTTTCTACTACGATCACCAGGTGGCATGAGCCTTAGCTTGGGGATTTTGAGTAAACAGGAAGACTATAAGGAAGGATCAGAGTTATGGAATATTTGGGACAAACACATATCCATCTACGTGCTGAAAGAGACAAATGTGTTACCAAGATGAGAACAGGAAAACAAGCCCCTTAAGTAAGTCAGCTTCTAAAACTGCTAGACATCCATTCTTAAATCCATTAAATATTTGTTAAACTCCTACTCTCCATGTGCCAGATATTGCACGAGGTGTGCGGAATAGATCCAAACAGACAGCGAGGACTGTTCACACAAAGCATACGGTCTAATTTGTGTTGGGAGTGGATATGGACAAGTAAGCAAGTAACAGCCCCTGTGATGAGTGATTACTAGGTGAAGTGCCACATGCAGTAAGAGCACAGAGTCAGGGCGTTGAAGCCCAAGAGAGAGGAAAGAGGAAGACAAGCCAGAAGGACACTTCATAATAGATTACCACAAAGGCAAAGGCCTCAGAGCATCTTCGTTTCCTCTGTGTGAACTGGTTACCAGAAATGTGGTCAAACCAAGAAAAAGCCATTTAAGAAATGTGGGGAGAGTATAAGGAAGTAAACGTAGTAGGAGGAAAACATTTTCAGTTTTGATCCTCCTTTTCTTTACCCATTTAGATACCACAACCAGTTGATAAAGTGAAGAAGGAGGAAAGTGATGTAAAAAGAAAGAAACTATAATAAACACTATCCTCACCAAAATTAAAGGTAATACGTTTCCATGGGTGATGCCCTTACTAGTACACACTCTGGCTAAGAGTAGCTTGTCCAGATGTGTTCATTCTGCTAATGAGAGTGCAAATTGAAATATACTTTTAAGGAGGAATTTTGCAATCAGTTTAAAGAATCTTGTGTAATTCAGTAATTCTTTGTCTAGGAATATATACTCAATAGAGAGGAAATGCAAAAATTTACTGAACAACTGTGTTAAACAAGAATTATTTATTATTTGGAAAAATTGGAAATAATCTAATGAACAGTAGTAGAAAATTATTAATTACATATAAATACATTTATGGGCTGGGATTTTTATACAATCATAAAAATTAAGTTGGAGACAAGAGATCAGAACAAAATAAATCTTACTGTAAGCTATGTCTTTCTTAGGGTGCACATTTTTGCAGCCAAACTTAAGGCTCCCTTGTTTTCATAGTATTCCATTCTCTTTCCCTCTTTTTTCCTGACCACAACTCTTTATATCTATTTTTTATGCTTTCTATTTATTTATTTATCCTGGTAATGACTTCCTCTTCTAATTAGTTTTTTTGTAGATACATTCTAAGTAACTTTTCATGACTTTGAAAAAAAAAGATTATGTGTATATTTGTGCAAACACACACACACTTATGCATGCAATGACTGTATAAAAATACAACTAACAAGCAACAGTGATGGACCCTGGGGAAGAGGACTGTAGGACAAGAACATTGGAGTAAAAGGAAACTTCTTGTCACTGGTTATCTTTTGGTAATAACTTTAAATAACATGAATATTGTCTTAGTCTGTTAAGCAGCTATAGCACAACCACAGACCAGAAGATTTATCAGCAACAGAAAGTTATCTCTCACAGTTCTAGAAACTGTAAAGTCTAAGATCAAGGCACAGGCAGTTTCAGTGTTTAGGGAGGGTCCAGTTTCTAGTTCTTAGATGGCACTGTCTCACTGTGTTCTTACACAGTAGAAGAAGTATGGGGTCTCTCTCAGATATCTTTTATAAGGACACTAATCCCCTTCATGAAGGCCCTACCCTCAGACCTAACACTTCCTAAAGTCTCCATCTCCTAATACCATCACATCAACATATGAATGGGGGGGGACACAAATATTGAGTTTATAACAAACTGTATTCTACCTTTCAACTCCCTAATCTCTACTACTTCTGAATCTTTTATGCTGCTCTGCCCCTCACCCTGCCCTGGTCACCTGAATCCTGTGCTGTTCCTCCTATTCCATGTTGTTAAAGACACAATCCTATTATTCTTTTGAATTCAACCTTTTTGAACTGCATCAGCCCAAAGGGTGAGTCTATATATCTATCCAAACCTTATGCTTTCCAAATAGAAGAGAATTTTCCTAAAGGGAATCTCATAAGCCATAGCATTTTCACTGCATCTCACATATTGTTTCACAAAAAGTATTTACCATCTGTAATTTTCTTTTAAACCAAAAAACAACTCTGCTTTATATCATTGGACTATGGATTTACAGACATGAGCTATACCAGCCTTTCTGCATCAGGCAGGGTTCCAGAAAAAAAAGAAAAGAAAGAGAGAGAGGGAGAGCGGGAGGGAGGGAGGGAGGGAGGGAAGGAGAAGCAGGTGATCCACCCAAAGTGATTCAAAAACATAATGAGGACACTATTTTCAAGAGTTTAAGCAACAAGATAATTGAAAGAAATCACAAAAAAAAAGACTAACAGGATGACATTATGACCCCTGGGCATGAAGAGACTAAGGAGGGAGCAGTTACTGTAATCTAGCAGGAAATGGGACATCCAGTTACTGCCACTGTAGCCCAGCAGGGGAATAAGTAGAACAACATCACTGTCCTCCTTTCCTCTGACTTCTGCTGATGCTGCCATTGGCCTAACCCAACCAAAACCAGAGGCAAAGGAACCCATTAGGACCAGGACTCAGAGTCGAGTGCCAAGGAACAGAAAGTTGATCTGGAAATTTTTCAGAAAATACTCCACACAGTCTCTGCTTCATGAGTACCGATTCAGTGGTCATTTCCTCTGCTGATTGGCTGCTGCATGGGACTAACCTGATTACTGACTTGTAACACAATGCTTCTGGTGGTTCTGAAATATTCTCCAGATTCATAGCTGACCACCCTGAGCTGCAGACTTCTCCATTCTGACTTTAATAGCACAATTTGAAAACAAGGAAATGATTGTGTATGAGATAATTTCCTGATTCTGACTTTTATAACCTTGACATTTCCTGTAAGTTCTCCCACCCAGCATCACAAATCCCATGAAGTCCATTTCTGAAGCTCCACACCACTGTCTCAGGGTACTATGCACACTGCTTTCTGGGTCCTAACATACTTCCCCTATATACTCTGCAACATTTTTCAAGAATTTCTCTGGTCATTTAGCCAAGACCATCCCAACAAAAAAATTATATAACTCCTACCTTCTTGCAAAAATGTGATATTTAAAATTAGCCCTTGAAAAGTTGCATGAAATTTCTAAGGACAGAATCAGATTGTAACATCCTAGGCTAGCTCACATTTGAAATGAAGTCTTCCAGAGCCTGAGGGAGGAAGAAAGTGAGCTATAATGAAAAGTATTAGAAAAAAAGAGCCTGGATTCTATCACAGCCTTGCCACTAAGTAGCTTGAGTGACTTAGGGGAAGGTACATAAACCTGTGTCTAGCCTTAGAAATATGAGGGAACTGAACCAAATGATCTTCAAAACCCACTAAATATGAATATTCAACAATTTTAAGACTTTTCACAAAAAAAAAAAAAAAAAAAAACCTTAAAATGGGGAGAGTGAACATGTTTGAGAAATAATTAAAATTTCTTTGATGTAACTAATGTAGCCTGAATCATCCATGGGAGAAAAAATATTTTCTTCTTAAGTATTGTCCCTTTCTCAGGAGAATGAATTTTTGCTCAAGGTTTTCTTCAGAGCAATTTTGACGTCCTTATTCCTTAAGCTGTAGATTAATGGGTTGAGCATGGGCACCACAATGGTATAGAACAAAGAAGACATTTTGCTCTGGTTCATGGGTAAGAGAGAAGAGGGTTTGAGATACATAAATGCTCCTGACCCAAAGAAAAGAGAAACTGCAATTATGTGGGAGCTGCAGGTGCTGAAGGCTTTGGACCTGCCCTCAGTGGAATTAATGCGGAGGATGCAGGAAAGGATGAGGGCATAGGAAATGAAGATGGTGACTGTGGGCACACCGATATCAATGCCCACAACAATAAAAACTACCAGCTCGTTCACATAGGTGCTGGTGCAAGAGCGCTCAAGAAGGGGAAGGATGTCACACATGTAGTGGTTGACAAGGTTATTGGCACAGAAGCTCAGACTCAGCATGCATGCTGTGTGAGCCATGGCCCCAGCAAAGCCCATCCCATAGACACCCAACAAAAGGAGCAGACACACCTGGGGAGACATGGAGACCGTGTACAACAGTGGTTTACAGATGGCCACATAGCGGTCATATGCCATTGCTGACAGGATGAAGGACTCAGAGACGACAAAGAAAAGAAAGAAGAAAAGCTGAGTCATACACCCTGTGTAGGAGATGATGTTCTTCTTGGAGACAAAACTCATCAGCATTTTAGGGGTGATAACACTGGAATAGCAGAAATCTATGAAGGACAAGTTATAGAGGAAAAAATACATAGGGGTGTGCAGGTGAGAGTTCAACCCTATCAGGGTTATTAAGCCCATGTTCCCCACCACAGTGACCATGTAGAAACCTAGAAACAGGAAAAAGAGAGGGATCTGGAGTTTCAGCTGATCTGTTAAGCCTGCGAGGATAAACTCCGTCACAGAGGAAGAATTCTCGGCTACCATTCTCATTTAAGGCATTCTGTGGGGGAAAGGGAAAATAACCATTTAGAAGGAGACCACTGCTGCCCTCCCCATCACCTCCCCTGTTCTTGAGAATAGGATGCATACAGAGAGATTTTGAATTTTAGCAGAGGAGCCTTTCCTGGTGCTCCCTGTGGCTACTCTCACGGCTCCCAGGTATTCTGCCTCTGGAGCACCCACTGGAGGATGTCCCTGCTTCCATGGCAATGGCTGCTGGGAAGCCCTCTAATCAACTTTGATCCCTTTGTTGTGTCCTTCCAGCTCCATTTTCTGCTCAACTTTACAAAAACGGGACAGAATCTGAGAGGTATACTCTCAGAGGCAGACCCAGCCCAGCTATATCTGGAAAGCCCACTTCAAGGTCCTCCTGGACAGAGTAGATGGGTAACATGGTCTTTCCCAGAGCTTTAGTACACAAGATTGGGGACTTAGGAAAAGTTCAGACCACTCAACCTGATTCAGCCACTCACCCTCTTCTGCCCAGAGCTTCAATGATGTACCTTTCCGTCCAGCTCTTGTCTTCACTTGTTCAGACAGATTGGCTGTAGAGCTAACACAGATGAAAGACTTAAACACAAACCCCTCTACTTCCTGTCCTGATTGCAGTACCAGGCTGTCTCAGAACTCTTTCTGAGCTAGAGAACATGACATCTGTAGGAGGTTTTGCCCTGAGGATTTTCTCTAGCTTTCAGAAAGAAGATGGTATCCTTACCAGTCATCAGTGACAGCTGGTGACAGAAAACTGAGCAGTTTTATTCTGAGTTTAGAGATTTGGGGACCTGATTAGAAGTTTAAAAAAAAAACAAAAAAAAAAAAACAGAAGTTCTCCTGGGATCACAGCCCTAGTTATTAACTTCAAAAAAAAAAAAAAAAGCCGGGCTCGGTGGCTCAGCCTGTAATCCCGCGCCTTGGGAGGCTGAGGTGAGTGAATCGCCTGAGCCCCAGGTTCAAGACCCACCTGGGCAACCTGGCGAGACATCATCTCTACAATAAATCAAAAAATTAGCCAGGCGTGGTAGCGCGCACCTGTAGTTCCAGCTACTCAGAAGGGTGAGGTGGAAGGATCGCCGGAGCCCAGCAGGTTGAGGCTACGGTGGCTGGGAGAGACCACCGCACTCCAGTCTGGGTGACGGAGTAAGACTCCAACTCAAAAACAAAAAAAAGAAAGTTTTGCTTATACCCTTGATCATACTTGACATTTAAATGGGCTTTTGGAAACATTAAAATATTTATTTAACATCTACCCAGAAATATGCGAGGTGTTGTGCAAAAAATAATTTACCACTTATTGAGTATTTAATATATACTCAAAACGATTTCTGTCTTAGCATTATATAATGACTTCACATTGCCAGGATTTAGTATCATTTTTCATATAATACTTCATTTAAAGTATATTAAAGTAATCCTAAGAGCTAAGTTTTACCACTCCCATTTTAGAAAAGAAGGAATGCCCTAGATATTAAATTACAAAGGCCATATTAAACCGAGGCCCATTTTATTTCTGATTTGATGTTCTTAACATCTGTGTTTAATGTCTCCCTATAATGAAGTATATAAGACACATCTTTGCCTTCAAGGCTTTGATGATGTCTTTAAAAAGATGATAGAACACACCTAAATAAATATGAGAAAAAAATGTGATAAGATCCAAAAAAAGCAGCAACAAAATGCCAGTTTGGTGGAAGGGATTCAACATACCACTTACAGTTCAGTTAATCATTGGTGTTGCACAATACCCAGTCCAGAAGAGAATCCAACCTGTCTTCTCTCGGAATTTGAAATTGAAGTAACAAAAAATTCCTATTGGTTGAAAACCGCTTTTTCCAAAATTGCTAAATTGTTGGAACTCTCCTTGATGACCCCCGTCCTTCAACCTTCTATCGTTATTCTCAGCTCTCCTTCATATTGAGTCTGCGGACCTTGTAACTTGATTCTTCTTCATCCCACTAGACATTTGTTTCCCTATTTTGGTTGTTTTGCTCTTTTCCTAACTCCTTACTTTCGAGACAAAAGTTATCCCTTCTGTGTCTCTGTCTTTCCGAGTCTTGCCTGAGCTCAGTGACAGCAAATTCTCATTCTTGGAACCCCATAGATTTGAACCAGTATTTAAAAATCATCTAACCCAGTGGTTCTTAAACCTGGCTATACAAATGAATTAAATAATTATATGCTTATTAAAAATGCATATCCTGCTATCTTAACCTAGACATCATAGGTCAGAATCTCTAGGTGGGGTTTTATAACTTGTATTTCTCTTCTTTTTTTTTTTTTTTTTTGAGTTGGAGTCTCACTCTGTTACTCAGACCGGAGTGCAGTGACCGCTCCCGGACACTGCAGCCTCAACCTGCTGGGCTCCGGCGATCCTTCCGCCTCAGCCTTCCAAGTAGCTGGAACTACAGGCGTGCACTACCACGCCCGGCTAATTTTTTTTTTTTTTTTATTGTAGAGATGAGGTCTTGCCAAGTTGCCCAGGCAGGTGTCGAACCAGCGGGCTCAGGCAATCCACTCACCTTGGCCTCCCGAAGCACTGGGATTACAGGCTGAGCCATCGAGCCTGGCCTGTATTTCTCTTCTAAATCTCTTCTTATTCATCTAGATATTTAGCCAGGCTTGGAATTCACTGATCGAATCCTTCCATCCTATATTTTCTAGACAGGAAAACTAAGGCCAACCAATCACAGAGATAGTTGGTGGTAGTGTCTGGAATTAAATTTGGGTCTCCAACCTCTCCACTTATATTGTCTGGAAGAGGCTCCACTGGCCTTTAGTTTGGCTGGAATGCAGAGTACAAGCAAGGGTCATACTCAGGCCTGGAACAACACCACAAGTTTCTACCAGGGAAAGACTTGAATGTCACAACAGGAATTATGTATGCAATGTGAATCCATGAAATATATGGAATAGGCAAGTGACGTACTCAGAGTCGTTCTGAGGGAGAACAGTTAATCTAATGGACTATTGAGTGCCAATGACTTGATGCCACGTTTCTCCCAAGTGCTATGTTTAACTTATAATTCAGATATGATGCCTTAACTCAAAACACCAGTCATAAGACAAGGATGAATTTTCAGAATAAGTAACAGGTAAATGGAGCAAAAGTTCTTTCTAAGCTTTTTAATATATTAAAAATCATATAATGTTGGTCCTGCCTTATAGTTGTGGTGGCCACTTCCCACTACCCTGAACATTTTCACCAGGTTTTGAGTTTAAATTCCATCATCAAGTTCTCTGTGTTGCACATCTTTTTTGCTTCATTTTATATTACTCAGTCTATTTTGGGGGGCTTCTACTCCTACTGCAACAGTGACCTGCATCCAGTTGTAGCCAAACAATGCTATTTCTTGACTGCACCATTTATCCCCACTTTCGGTCCTAGGATATCAGTGCCAATACAATGTAGAAAGACTTGGGATGTCTGCGAGCATCTACTTAGCCATTCTGATGTATGTGCAAACCTGAAAGTGTTAAAAAGTTAACACCCCCAGGAGCCAGTGAATATATTCTCCCCTCTTCTGTGTCATAAGTGGTTCATCCTTCATAGTATTTCAGAGACTCAAAAGGATTGATCCTAAATTTTCCATTAAGGTAACAACATACACATGGATTTGTTTTCCATTCTTCCCTGTTTCACTCATCCTCTTCCCTGGGGTCATTTCTAAAAATAAGTTACCTACACACAAGTCCTTGTCCCTGGCACACCTTTTTGTAGAAACTTCAGCAAAGGCCCTCGTAAAGCAGTATGTGGATCAGGTCTGAACAAAATGTTTCTTACTCTGTCTGGAAGGAAGCAGCCTCACCCAAAGCTGCTTGATTCCAGGTCAAGAAACTAAATATGCATCACTAAATTCATCAAGAATCTGAAAATCTATGTTACAGAGAATTTGTATGTCTTGAGCATGTCCTATAAACCAAAAATAAAATTCTAAGCCCCACAATGACTGAACAAATCCCTTCTGAGCCACAGAAAACATAAAAATCTATGACATGATGGGAAAGGAGGTTGGACACACCTCATTTCGTTATACCCTTTCCCTTTTGGAGTTAAGTTTAACTGACTAGCATTAACATTAAAATAGAGATTATAAGACTGATTAAACAGACTCTATGTAAATAAGATACCAAATTCCAACATGACTGTGGTATAACATCACAAGACAGACAGCAAGCCCTAAAGGAAATAAAAATATTTTACCCCAAAATATAGTTATTTGACATAATTTTAAATAGCGCTGCAAAGCCTTCTTTTGTGGGGAAATATTCGCATCTGTAGAAAATCTCCATTAACATAGCCAGATCTTTTCCCTTCCTGAATCTAGGAGGGATTAACTGGGAGTCTGACACATTTAAAGTCTGAAAAAGGGACATTTGCCATCTATTCTCTCTAAGGGCTGTCGCCTATAAGGCTTCATCATCATAATAAGAACCTTGGTCTTTACAACCTCCTTACCTTTTTTTTTTTTTTTTTTTGAGTTGAAGTCTCACTCGGTTGCCCAGACTAGAGTGCAGTGGCATGCTCCCGGCCACCGCAGCCTCGACCTGCTGGGCTCCGGCGATCCTTCCGCCTCAGCCTTACCAGTAGCCGGAATTACAGGCATGCGCTACCACGCCTGGCTGATTTTTTGATTTATTGTAGAGATGAGGTCTTGCCTGCCCAGGTGGGTCTCGCACCCGTGGGCTCAGGCAATCCCCTCACCTCAGCCTCCCAAAGGCGCGGGATTACAGGCTGAGCCACCGAGCCTGGCTACAACCCCCTTATCTTAACCCAGACATTTCTTTCTACTTAGTTCAGGTGGTTAGTTAGACAATAGTTTAGCTCTTTCAACAAGCTGTCAACTACAAGATTCCTAAAAACCCACCTATGACTTGCCCCCACTTTGAGATGTCCTGTCTGAATCCATGTGTACCTCACGTGTTGATTTACATCCTTTCCTTAAACCTCTATCTCCCTAAAAAGCATAAAACCAAGCTGCAACCCAACCACCTTAGGCACACATCCTCAGGACCCCTTAAGACTGTACAGGCCTTAGCCACTCATATTTGG